TGCAACTACACTAACACTACAACTTCTTCTAAACCAATCTTCCACTACAATATCGGTATCCCACTCCTATACCTGAAGGGCAACAACTATACACTTCAATCAATCTTCTCTTACAGTATATGTATCGTACCACTACTATAAGGAGCCTAGGATGACTTTGGGCCTATCTATACGAAAGCTTCGTAGAAGTAATCCTGCTCCTTTATTGATAGGGGTGGGGTTATGTTGCGATGGAACTAAGGGGAAATCGTATCCCTTCACAGAGCTACACCTCTTGTTTGACCTCAGTAAATAACAGCATAAGACATGGTCAGATACAAACAAGACTAAAATCTGCTTCAATGGTTTTTTGTATTTTGATAAGACATTTATTCACATTATTGCTCTGACATGCAAAGACAACAAGTAACAATTAACAATGATAACAGATAACAGCATATATGGTGAATTGCACAGACGAGAAGTGCTTGTGATTGCAGATCATATCACAGCATTTTGACTTCAGAAGAACATCGCTCTCTCAGCTGAAGGCAGAGCCGAGTTCACGCCCAACAAAAACGTGAGGAAGCCACACCAAGGACACTTCCGATAAATATCTACTTGTTCTTTTTTAAATTCCTTTGTTTTTCTGCAGAAACTACGATAACGTCGTCCGTTGGCAAACCTTTCCTTCGTCGCACAGCATCCATATAACCGCGTGCATGATTTGGTGAATCGCCTTTCACACCGAACTCCTCCATTTCCTCGAGAGTAGATGGTTGCCAGTACGGATCCTGAAGGGACAAGTTTGCATTTGTAAAAATACTCTCGAAGAAGCTAACCTCATCAATCAGCTGCCAGTGACTGAATTCAAGCTGAGCACTAGCCATACCCGAGGTGTTTTTGCGCAGATGGTCACAAAACGAAAATGATTCTACGACAGGCATCAGCGCAGTTACCTCAAACAAACCCGTAGCCTCGTTTATGTCCTCGTTCAAAACCTTAAAAGCAAGCTTTTTTTTTCACAATCAAAATAAACCTGCTCATAGCGAATGCGGGTCGAATCCCATTAAACAGCTATTAATGCCTTCCCAAAAAA